TTCCCATGATGGTGGGTATTAGATGTGATCTTGCTAACCTTCCACTCAAATTAATGTGATATGGGTGGGTTTAAAGCTTAGGCTACATTCAGTCCACATGTGATGGAAGCAGAAAAAGCAGCTGGTATACATGCAAACTGCAGTTGACGTGCATCAAAGTGCACCAAAAAGTCCTGCAGCGCATCTAGAGTAGCAGGAGCAGTGCCTCATCAGCTTCTGATTATCTAAAGCACTTGAAACCCTTCGCAAGCAGCAGCTGCTGGAGCTAGAACATTTTAACTTTTGCTGCTCAATGCGCTACATCATCCAATCAGAGAAGTTGATCTAGGAGCTGGCAGGCAGATAGACACAGCACTGCTGATGGAGATTGCTATTATCACTCACCTGAAATTGTTTATTAACGCCTGAATGAACATAAAATGTTGAGATCTGCCGGCAAAATATATTCGCTTTTATTATCCTTGTGCCTGTAGTTTGGATTACGTACCTGAAAACCGCTTACATCTCCTTCAAGCCACCAAGAACAGTAGTGGGAAACCCCCAAGAGGCGACCGGGCCAGAGGTAACTGTTGCTGGGGATTTTCAGTGACAGTGAACCACGGGTGTACGGGGGTTTCGTGCTGGTCCGACAGCGAAATAATATTTGAAGGCAGGATCGTTTCTTCATGAACTGACTGCACAGATGATGTTTTGAGGCAAATATAGCAAAGCCGTTCTCTGTTATTTAACACTGGAGCATCATAAACATCAGACGCATCTGGACACAATTTAAGCCGGGCGTACATTGTGCGATTTTCGGAGCAATTTTCCAGTCATGCGACAATCTTTCGATCTGGCCGACTTTCAGCCTGATCATGAGTCGTGTAGTGTACAGGGGCCACTCAAGACCACCTCCCAATCAGGAATCGTGAGGTCGGGAGAAAATCAAACATGTTTGATTTTCTCCCGAATGTCGTGGGCAAATCGCTCAGTGCGCGCATTCGCAAACAAGGATTCTTCTGTAAACACAGCAGCATGGCAGGGATGCAATGAGTGAAATGCAGTTCTGTCTGTAAAATTGACAGACCGTAGTAGCCACGTTTGTTCAGCCATGTCTTTTTTCCAAATACACCGTCGCTTTTTCTTTTTAGGGCTTTCAGCACAAAATTGCACAAATTGCCAAGGCAGCCCGTTTCACTCTAGTGGGCTTCATATTCCTCTTCTATTTGTTTGGCTTCTAGATAGACGAGTCAGAGCAGCTCCATCTCACTGAGGAGCTGAATCCGATGTGGTATTTAGTCGTACAGTGTGAGCAGGCAGGTCGCATGAGAGCGTTGGGCCGCTCACATAAATCGTGAGCTGTCAGCAGTAGCAACGACTGAAAAAATCGTCGGACCTTAATGTTTACAAGCATCAAAAATGAAACAACGGGTGCTTTTTTCTGCTTCAATCATGTGCGGTGAGCGTAGCCTTAGAGCTGTAAAGGGTGAAATGATTTTTTGAATTGTTATGCTTTGCTTTTTGATTAAACTCATTAGAAATGTTAACATTTCGTGCCATTACAATATCCTTCATTTAATTTAATCAACCTCAGTTGATTTTGTCCACAGTGTTTGCATTTCATTTTGAAAGTTAGTATTCAAGTTGTCATGTTTATTGTGAGCAAACTTTAGTATTTAACAAATTATACAAGGTTTTTCAAGGCATGAGGAAGTTTGGGTTCCAGGAATGCATTAACACTCAAGCTAATGCTACAGGTTTAAAGAGTTGAAATATCTTTCCTTTCAAAATTTGGATTGGTTGTAAAAACCTCCCTCTTACAGGTATAGTCCTGACTTTCCTGGTCTGATTTTACCTATACAGCATAAGTTGTTTTTTCCTTTTAACTTTAAGTTCTGAGAATTTGTTGTGTGTAAAATGAGACATTTGGTATTCAGATTAAAGGTACCATGTGCAACAAAGTACAGGGATCTGTTTCACGAAGCAGGTTTACTGAAAACTCTTAGATTTTCTAAATCTGAAATCAGTTTTCTGTTTCACAAAGAGAGTTTCCTCAACGTCTGTTACTGTAGTAACAGTAGAGCTAACCTGGTTGGGAACAGGTTTTATTCCGGAAACTCTGGGTGTCTCCGCTCTCCTTAGAGCCAATCACGCTTTTTTATTTCCTGATTTATTTTCTGATTTTGTCCTTGCAGTTCTGTTTGTTTAATATGTGTTACATATATACAGTATATATATATATATATATATATATATATATATATATATATATTTACAATACATGACCAAGTACTGAAATTATTTCAGATTATACTTAAACATTAATTCACCAGGACAAAAAAAAAAGGAATTACCTTAGGGTTGCTGGTTTTTTGACAAGACATGACACATATTGTGTGACTACATGTAGACTACAGTGACTTATCTGTAAGTGTGGCCAGCCTATAGAAAGGCATCCCAATTATCGTTAATTATTGTCAGTGTTTCTGTTGTTTTTATCAATTCCACTATACAGTGGTTCCTCTTTTTTTTGGAGGTATTTTTTGAATACCTTGTCAAATCTTTAGGTCTTGGCTCTGGTGTTCATCAGGAAGTTATTGGACTGTATCTTTACCAAGCGAGAGTTGAGCTGGCTGGATGATCTCATGCCGGAAAGCAAGAAGAAAAAGCTTGAGGATGCAGAAGAGGTGAAATTTCTTTTTTTGGAAAATTCTCTTCTTACAAACTCTTTCACCATTTACCATAACTACAAAACATGTGTGCCAATGTCCGTTTTAAAATTCCTGGCAATTTATCTTTAGGACGAAGAGCAAAGTATTCTTGCAGAAGATGAAGGAGCTGTTGAAGTGCCACTCGAGGGGTACAAGTGAGTTACACTATCATCGTAAAGAAAGTTAAAGATAATTAAATTATTTTTACGTTTTTTAACCATTTCTCATTAATTTTATACAGAGGAATTCCCATCATCAACATCACAGATGAAATGTCAAAAGGCTCATTTGGAAATACTTGGAATGCCAATGAATGAGGAAAATACAACAGAAATAAAACCAGCTATTCTGGCTTTCAAAGTTATTTGGTAAGGTTGTTTATTCTTGTAAACACAGATTGGTAAAGAGTTTGTAACATAAGAAATGAAAACTATCTGTAGAGATTTTTTTTTACAAGTGTAAAGTAAATCTAAAAAAACAGAGGAAATATATATCTGAAAGGAGACATACCAAAGCTTTTTTCACACAGCCAGAGCTTCGATCACTGAAACTAAAGAATTGACCCCAAACCCTGGAGAATGGTCACACACATTTAAACACAATACGCATCTGAATCTGCTGAGCTGATTTGTGTTTTAATGTTGGCTAGCACTTTGTGGCTAAATTGCTATTTTCATTTTTGCTTCAACTTTGTTATAACGCCACTAGCGACTCATTGTGGAATTTAGGAGGGAAGAATTTTATGAATGGAGTTATTTCATGTTTGGGGTTTTATCAAAGTACCACACTAGAATAAATCAAGTATCTTCGAGCAGCCCTTTCTTTCACAAATGCTTGTAGAATCAATGGGCCTAAACATTTGAATGTACAAATCTGTGGCCATGAACAGGGTAGGAACACTGTGTTTCAATGATACTGACTTAGATATTTATCTAGCATTTTCTGCTATCTATCTATCTATCTATCTATCTATCTATCTATCTATCTATCTATCTATCTATCTATCTATCTATCTATCTATCAGATTTTTTCTGTTCGGTGATGGAATGTATTTCCATTTTCAGTCTTTTAGGTTTAAACTTTCAAATTCAATTTATATATAAACAGTTTAGTTAAAAACCAATAAAACTGCAACTTTAAAAATACATATGGTTATTACATGTAATGTGCACAAATTTCTGTTTATGTGATAGATGTTTTGTAACAGTATTTTCACCCAAATTAATGCAACAGTACCTGCCACCACATATGGCTATTTCTGTATTTATGTTCTAGTGACAGTTATTCAATCTTTAGTGTTATATTAATATTAAATTACCTGAAACAATAAGCCATTTTACTTTGTCAAATGTTTTACCAAGGATAAAACTGACTTGTGTAGTACACTGTTTTGAAAGTATTAATGAAAATATTTTATTATCTGTATGTTGTCATTGTACTGACCTCTGTAAATGAAAGAAGTTTCACTTTTTGAATGTTTAATGGATATTATAAAATGATGAAATTCTCCTGTATATAGTTGAAAGAAATCCTAATAAAGAATATGTTAAGAAATTATGTTTGAAAATGAAATTAATCTGCAGCTTTTAACTTAAATGTTTCTATTACCAGTGTGAGCCTCAAATCAATCATCAAATCACCTCAAGCAGATTAGTCCCAATGCGTTCATGCATGCCTTTGTTGTAGATGACATGAGAAGAACGCCCAGTGTCATTGGAGATGCTTCGCCGTCACAGATTTAGCCATCGAGCAGAACAGGAGTGGGCAAAGGTTCTCTTTTGCAATCAACAGATGGGTTGATGTGCTGCAGATGACAGCTTGGAGAGGTGGAACCTCCCCTGAGCGTGTCACGCTGGTGACTGATGTGAATTACTGTTTCCTTTTCAGCGTTACAAGGAAATCAAAAGTGTTAACCCAGCCACCCATCTCTGCCAGTCTGATTGACATGACTTCCCTTTATTTAGCATAAATGTCCTTGGTGGGCATGATCATCATAGGGAGATCCTTTTTCCAGTAAGAAGCTGACAGGTGAAATATATCATCCCTGTACCTTGCAGAAATCTCTGAATTGTTCTCCCAGGGGATTAATATGTTTATTGATTTTTGTTCTGCCTCCTTAAACAAGAATGATCGAGGGAACACAACAGGAAACAAGTGTCGCTCACTGGAACTTCCAATCTCATAGCATTAACTAACATTCAAACATAAGATTATTTTTGCTGAAGATAAAGAAAAAGGTTCTTGGAACAGCATTTAAATTGCATTTTATTGGATTATTTTTTAAAGGATCTTAAAAAGTGGAACCTGTGTAAAAAAAACATCTCGGATCCTCTAGAGAGACATAGACCCTGCTAGTATATTAAAGAGGAAACTTAAAACTTGTACACATTTCTTTACTGAAAAACACATGAAAAGATATTTTAATGCTAGATGTTTAGTTTGGACCTACAACATAATTTAAATCCTAAATATTTATGTAAATAATAAAGTAATCAAATATATATATTTGGCTGATGTTCCAGTCCATAACATTTCAAACCCCATTTGTTTTTTTTTCTATGCTTCTGAAAGGATCTCCTTCATCCACGGAAGGCCGATAAGGCTTCTTGTGAAGAGGAATTTAATTGCGTTACCAGGAGATGGTGTACAGGTTGTGACATGTGTACTTCAACAGATTCAGTGAAAAAACAGCTTCAGATTTTTACGTATTGTTTTTTAGAATAACAACAGCTTGAGACGTTTAGTCTCTTCTGCCTCTGCCAGTCTTCAGCCAGGAGACAAACTCTTTGGCTGCCTGATCCTGCAGGTAAGAGCTCACGTCGCTGGTGTAGGTGCCGTCAGCATGGCGCCTGAATAAGCTCCTGTTATAAAAACAAGTTTTGCAGGGTTCAGTCAGTATTCACATTTTATTTTTTACACCTGAAGACATTGCATAAATTATATGCTAGAGACTTTATTCTAAGAGTTAAAAGCACTCACCCGTTCCTTTTTGAATTCTTCAGCCATTGGACAAAGTCTTGTGCTCTTCTTGTCTCCAGGTATTTGCTGTAGTCATTGGAAAAAGTTCCCTCTGAGTGCCTCTTCATGTTTGGAAATGGGATGGAATCAGTGAAAATTGAATTTTCACTCAACAAGCTAAACAACAAAAAATGGAGAAATCTGAGTTGAAACTTGCACTTTGATTTAAAATTTTGACTCACATTTGGATTTATTAAGATATCACTGAGCAAAGTTTGCTTCTTGTACAACATCAGAGAGGCATCTCTAAAAAAAATAATAAATAAATAATCAACTTGGAAATATTATTGATATACGTAGATAAATGCGAGAAAAAAAAATTGATATTCATTCTGCACATTTCTAAACATTACAAGGAAATTTGTCCTCTGCGTTTAAACCATCCCTATAGGGAGCGATAGACTGCCACAGCATCCAGGGAGTCATTTGGGGTTTAGGGTCTTGACTAAGGACCCCCGTGTTTCTGTGGGATTCAAATCAGGGAACTTGCAGCACTTTCAGAACACAGGCACCCTGCTGGAAAAATTAGGCCACCACACAGAAACCAGTGGAAAACTAGATAAGTAACAACTGCATTTTCTTTTCTAAATTAGACTAATAGTTTGAAATTACATCTTTGGTGTTAAGATAGAATCTTTAGCTTCTTCAAAAGGTTTAACTTCAGATTTAACTCTGACAGGGTCACTCCAAGTAATAATACATCCGTTCACAAGAAAGATGCAGGGGAGCACATTTGTCCTGGGATATAAATATTTGTTTAACTGCACTTTATATCATAACTACATTATTATTATTATTATTATTGTTGTTGTTATTATTATTATTATTATTATTATTATTATTATTATTATTATTATTATCTATACTAATTGGGTGTAAAAATGTAAAACTAAAATATGTAATTATTTTGTAATGCTCGTCTACATTTTTGCTGTTGAAATTCAAAAAAACCATGCACGTTCTTGAAGAAGATTCATAAGGTCTGGTCCTTTTATTGGCTTATATAATACCAATATCAATAATAAAAAGTGGGTGAATGAGAAAACTGGACAATATATATATATATATTTTATATATTCACTTCACTTTTCTTAAGCAACATAAAAAGAACTACTACATTATTAAGAATAAAAATAAAATTCCAAGATAAAGGAAAAAGAGAGATCATAGGAATAGGGTCTTACAGCGGTGTTCGGTCTGAGTCCTGGTCAGGCACCTGCCAGCTGCTTTGGATAATGATAAGGAGCAGAAGTCCAGCAAGAGACTGAGCACTTTTCATTGTTTGAGTTGCCTGAAAATAAGCATAAATTAATACAAATAGTACATTTACTTTACTTTGGTATTTAAGCTTTTAAAAAGATTTCTCACCTTAGCTCCTTTGTGCAGATTTCTTAACAGATAGCTCTTGCTTTGTGTTGAATGTTATAGTTCTTCTCTCGTGTTTCTGGAGCTTCTTCATGGTCCCCTCCTCATCTGCTCTTTCTTATATAGCAGACCTAGGGAGTATTCTCTCAGGTGACTCCCTCCGTCACAAAAACGTTTGCACATCCTGGCTATTCTCAAGCCATTAGTCAGCTTCTGGCTCAGTGCCCTGAACATATTTAACTTTGGTTAAAAAATGACAGCATGACAGCTGGATGGTCAAAGAGAAAGAAATCTGCTATTTCAAGTGTCTAAAAACAAAATATCACATAGGCGACTTTAACATGTATATGTTAAAGTAGCTATATAAGTAAACTATATAGTCCTTATTAAAGAATAAAGGCTAAACCTGAGAAAAATTATTAATACAGTCATTGATAAAACTGATGTAATCTAACACATAAGACCATTGATCAATTTATTAACCTCAAGTTAAAAACAATGGGAAAAAAAATCACTGCCTGATAAGCTTCCATAAAACACTGCTATTTTTTCTCTAGATATATAATTTTGAATACCTTAAGGCTTAAGCTAAACTCAGATATAATAAACAGATTTTTTTTATGTGTAACTTGAAATAGTTTTTATAGATGACAAATAACATGTTTAAAAGTGTTTTAAAGGTATTGTTTTGCCTTGGCGGTTCTAGACAGGTGCCAATGGCCCCATAGAACCCTTCCTTTTTTTTACTCCTACTGAAGACATTATGTTAAATTTATTACTGTATGATGATATGTAACGGCAAAGAAACCTTAACTGATTGGTCCCTTGCACCTATGCCTTTTTTAACCTTTTTATTTTTGTTTTAACAATGATTTTACTACATTTACTAATCTTTAATTAATCAAAACTGATCATTCACATTTAAATTGTCAAAAATGTGTGCTATTTCTGAATGAACAGTATATTGAAAAGATATTCCAAAGAATATCCTTATCTTATCTCTTTACTCTTTATTCCAAAGACTTTAAATAGTCTTGTAAAACTCAAAATGTCATTTTATTTCGACTTCCTTTATTGGCCATAGAGAAAAGCCTTTTATCTCAAAAGTTTTGATTGGCTCCCATTTTTGTTCTTAGACTTTCAGCAATGCAATCGATATGTATTTTTTTTTAACAAATTAAATTCTTTTATTTTTACATATTACTATCATATGAATGAGTACGACCCATTATATTGTGTAACAACAACTTTGATCATGGGGTTGCATTGCTGACCATAGCCACCATCAAATTGTCATCTAATGAATTCACATTTACCAGAAAATCTGAGAGACATCATGTGGTCATTTAGCACTGAACTTTCACTTGAAGCAGATATTTACTTGGACAATTTTTTTTCTACAGTAAGGGATTTTTATTTTAAGCATAAGGAAATTATCCAGAAATAAAATGTATCAATTGGAGCAATATAAAATGAATTTAACTTAATGACATGGACATTCCACTTCTTTCGCTTCACAGCTGGAATTGGCGCTTTTGTTCAGTTCTGTTTTGTTCTCACTTCATATATCAAATAATAAACAGTTGTCCTGTTTTTTGTTTAATTCTTTTTTTCTAGGTCCCCATCAAATAATTTTGGTCCCATCTTGGTCCCCTTGGTGAATTTGTTCTAAAACCGTCACAGAGAACCTGGTTTTGTTTTACTTCCCTACAGACTCACAATTCTTCATCCTTTAATTGTTTTACAGCATTGGCAGTATTATCGATGGTTATATGATTTTATTAACTCTCATCAACCTAACAATTTTTTTATATTGTTGCTTCTTAAAACAAAGCATGAAAATGTAGTCCTTAAAATGATAACTATTCTAAATGTGTCCTCTGTCCTTCAAGCAAAGACAAGCTTATGTGAAAAGTAACGACCCTGTTCATATTTAAATACAATGTTTATTATATCCTCATCATAGCAATACACAAGTGTAAAGACACCACCCCACAAAAATCAGTGCAGTGTGATTAATCAGCCGTACGTTATCACATTCACATATAAAAACAAGTTTAAATGCATGCAATGGCTTTTCCTAAAAGTCGAAGATCCTTTGTGAGTTTGAACTTTCTGAGTAATGAAACATGGAAAATTGACCTGACTGCTCAACATTTCATTGAAAATAACTGCATAAAAACAATTTATAAAGAAGGTGTGGGTTTTCACATCTACTCAGGCTTCACAAGGCATGTCTGCAGAAACTGGCTCATGAGGGTATATGTATGATGAAAGGCTGGTCCCCTGAGAGAGTGATCCTTGTCAGTGTACCACTGAAATCAAAAATAAAACAAGATAAAAGTAAAGACATTGTGATATTGAATACTACATGATCAAACATATGTTGCTTTTTCTACATACTGTAGTAATTAATGTTTTTTTTTTTCCATTTGAGACTCTTTAAAATAAGCACATCCAAGACCAGCATTAGTCTACTTCACCCAGCCAATATTTACCATTGCCTTAAAATTTACTTGCTCATCCACCAGGGCTTTGGAGATCTGCGCAGCCTGCTGGAAATGGACATTGTCTAAAGGAAGAACAGCAAATCGGTACGTGACTGAATGCCTGGGTTGAGATCTTTTTCAGGCAAATACAAATCATTTGTGCATGACTTTATTCTGTTACCAGGTGATGGGAAAAATGGTTAGCTCATGTTCAAAAACAGGAATTAGTAAAGAGAAACCGCTGAGTGTACCGTCTGCTGTGCCGTGAACAAGAAGATAGTCAACATTTTTGAAGTTCTTTGCTCTTGATGTGACTGTGGAGTTCTGTTAAACAGGAAGGACAAAATGCAGAGTTAATGAAGCACCTTATATCTTAAATCAGAACACTGCATCCTTAAGGGTAACTATTTTGTAGAACAATGCAAACTACCAATATTCAAATTATAAAACAATATAAATCATTATTTTTCAAATAGATAAGTAATAAAAAAAAAACCTGCTAGCTAAAAAGTTCCATATTAAATGGTAAAGTGAGCTACAAGCTGGAAAAGACTGATAGGGTTGATAGTATGTTATTTACCTGGTAAGAGTCTGAATTCTCTGATGGCTTTCCCATGTAGCGCTCAGTGTAAACTGCATCTGCAAAAACAAAACACTTTATTAACCCATATTAAGATGCTCAGTCAGAACCATGAATACTATTTCCAGGAAGCCTATATTTTTTACAAGTAAAAATATAAAACAATTCCTCATATATGTTGGCTTTTAATGACAGTTAAAAAGATACAACATAGCAAATCCCACTCTTGTTGTAGATATTTATACAGCAGGAGGGCTTTAAAAGAGACTAGAGAGAGCAGAGGGGATTGAAATGGGGATACGATAAGGATAAGAAAGGGAGGAAGGAATAACTTTAAAAATGAGACAGAAATTTTGTTTTTTGGGGGTATATCAATGCTTTGGCAATGGAAACACACAATAGTGCTAAAGTACTAGCAATAAAGCTCTGATCACATACCATAATATTCCCACTTGGCTACTGGGGCCACTGCAATCCCACACTTGAAGAGTCCAGTGCCCGCACCCAAAGCCATTGAAGCGACATAACCACCATATGACTGAAGACAAGATGTATACACCATTGTAAACTCTCAGTCATCTGGGTCATGACAACTAGGAAAAAGACTTAAAACGGAGGGACTTTATTCTGTTTTTTTTTTTTTGTAAGACATTTGGATCCAGCTGCCTTTATTAGTTCTGTTGGCTCAAAACGTCTTACAGACAAAAAAAATAAATAAATAAAATACTGAGTGAAAATCCAGTTGCCTCCAATTTAAGTCCGCTTTAGAGATGTTTACTTAAAAATAAAGCAAATATGATCAATAAGATGGAGAAAATGAATCATAAAAAAAGGCAACCTACCCAGCCCCATATTGCAATTCTATCTTTGTCGATAAAACCCATGTCAATGAATTGTCTGTAAGATAGAAATCATGACTTAAAATACCAAACGGAGGCAAGAAAGTAGTTAAAAAAGCATGAATCAAAAAAGTGAATCAGAAGTGCTTTTGCTTCACCTCACAGCTGATATCTGATCTTCCACTTCAAATGTACCAAGGCGCCGGTAGATTGCATGCAGTATTTTGTCGCCCTGATAACCGCTCCCCCTTCCGTCAATGCTGGCAACGATGATTCCATGCGAACTGGAGAGGTATGTGCCCCAGTTTAGCTTGTTTTCATAGCTCACGCTCTGACTGCAAGGGCCAGCATACCTGTAAGGGAGAGACAGTCACTAATGCATTCAAAGGTGGTAAGGTTTAAGGTATGAGCAGTTTTTACGTACACATTGATGAGAAGTGGATATTTTTTGGACTTCTGGAAATTTGGTGGCAACAGCATTTCATACCACAGATCTGTTGATAGAAAAATAATTATTTGTAAAACAGGAAGAACCATAGTCTAAGTATTAATATAGGCTTTTACTGAAGCCTCATACCAGCATAATATATATTTAATATGTATCTAAGTTGTTTGTTTGTTTTTTGCTTGAGGTAACAACTTGCAAGTTTTTTTTTTTTTTGTAATTTGAAATTATGTCATTAGAAAAAAAGTCTATACTATTCTATATTTCTTTAAATGAAAGCTTCAGATCTTTTCTGAGCTCACAAACTTTTCAGTTACTGTATTCTTTAAACTGTGATAGTTATTAAATGGAAAAGGTTGTTTTTATCACAAAGGAAAAACTCTATCATCTTGTTTTAAGTGATGCCTGAAAGAATCATGCAGTTTTAAATAAAAGTTCACGTTTATAAGTTTTGATATGCATTTTTTTTCACCTAATCCTGCAATCTTTATGGTGCCATAATTCCATGTTGGCATTTGAAATTCAGACAGAAGGTTGTCCAGATCCTGATTGTCTTCCAAAATTGATATCTCTGCAAAAAAATTAAAAATAAAAAATTACACATACATTTTAAATGGAACACAGAAAATTAACATCAGATTAAAATAGTTATAGATTTTCATGCATTTCTGTGCACTTGAAGTCTTATAAAAATTACCTTTTCCTTCAGTTGGGCCCCTATTGTCCATAAGAGTATAAAGGGGCAATCCAGGTCCTAGTCCAAACAAAACAAGACATTGATCCACAAAGACACAAGACAACAATATAAGTCATCTGTGTGATGTTAAAACCTTGATCATTGCTCACAAATATTTCTTGCATGGTTGAGTTATTGTTTGCGAAAATATATAAAGCTAACTGACCATAGCAGTCCATTCGGTAGAAGGAGGCGTCAACGCTTAAGTAAGCTGAGTTGTACTGACACCTTTCTCCATGCAAGCCACAGGTGAGGCACTGGGGGGTTGATGAGGTGCTTCCAAGCATAATCCTGATGCAAAAAAAAAAAAAAAAAAAAAAAAAAAAAAAAACAGGATTTCTTATTTAAGTTATTTAAATAGTATTTTATAAGAAGCTAGTTAGCATCCTCGATAGTATTTTTCTTTTTAAATGTATATATTGAGCCCTCCATGCTTTATCTTACCCCTTGAAGAGATGTGCTAAACGAATGACTAAAGTAAGTTAATTGTTACATGTTCTCCTATATATTTAGTTATACATTTAACTAATAAATAGGGCATTTCTGTATTCAGTGTTATACTTAATTAATGTGTAATGTATGCAATAATAAAAGGAAAACTGAATAACTCAAAAGACCATATATTGGTGCATTTAAGTATCTAACTGAACATTTATATTAATTATTTTACAATATATTTTACATTTTTTTCCCTTTTGGCATGCCATAGAGCTCAGGGGTCACGTCACAATGATTTATAAAATCACCTTATGACCACATGCTAAGAATCTTGCAACCCCGCTTTTGGAACAGCTAGCGTAAATAACATAATGTAAAGATTATGCAGCTTTCCAGAGTAAATGGGAGTTTTTTTTCATAATAAAGACTGGATTAATAAGAAAAAAGTGGGCAGAGTGAATATGACTTGGTAGCAATTGCAATGTAAAGATTGGAATAAAATAACTGTTTGCTATTACTAAATACATATAGCAAGAGTAATTACGGTAATGAACATTTTGAATGCTAATAGCACATTCAGGCAATTTCACCGAGTCTTACTACAGTAGATGTTTTTATCTGACACAGATCATATCGTTCAAGATAGTTAAAAGCATACAATAGAAAAAAAGCAGCGAGAAAAAATCTCATCGTAGTATTAAATCATGAATCATCACACGATTTTCTTACATTACACCCCCGAATCACTTTACCTATGTTCATCAGTAAAAACATAATCAACAGAACTACTTACTTGTACAGATTTCTCTTGATAGGGCTCTCTTGGTGCTGATTACTTACAAAATATCTATAGAAAAAAATTCAACATAAGTATTTTTTGAAATTGCTTAAGTATGTTAGTGCAATAAATGTGCAGTTTGTTTCACTTACATGGCATCCTTGGTTAACTTTGATATATAAATAACTTCCCATTTTCCAGATGTAATGGGTGTAGCTTTACCCTTAAAAAAAGAAAACAATTTAATTTAAAAAATTTAATTGTTTTGTTAACATTTTAAAAAATGTTAAAACTTTATTTAAAAAGGGATTTTTTGCTTAATATATATGTAACTTACATTTTTTACGTAATGAATATGTTTGTAGCCCTGATTGTCACTCATTATTTTGTAGAAACTGAGCTTATCCTCAGCAAAGAAAAGAGGCAGTGGCATATACTGAGGGAAATAATTATTTAATAATTACACATTGAATATTTATTATAAAGAAAATAAAAAAAAGAAAATTTTCTAAACTCACATGACCAATCCAGCCTGTTGTGCTTTTTTGCTCAAATGTCTGTAAAATACATGTTTTTATTAAACATTAGTTTTAATTTTAGCATCATCTCACTGGAAACAAGTGAAAGTTTCCAGATGCTTCAGGTGATCAAAATCGTGACAGCCACCTCTTTTTCTGTCCAGCTGCTTCCATCGAAGTCATAGACGGCAACAACCACATGATTCTGCCTTCTTGTGAGCCACTGCACAGCGACACGTTCATCTGTTGCCCAGGTCACTGAGCACAAAATGTGATCACTGCATAAAAGTCAAGAGAAAGTGACAAGGTCTTTAGCAGGGGCAGGTTGTACATTGTAAAACATGGTATATACCTCTGACTTAAAATGAGGTTTGGGTGATAATATGAAAGTATTAGTATATATATATATATATACAGACCCACTAGCAATGGAAGCAGGAGGAGCGAGATGTGATTGGCGGCTGGGATATGCTGTGTCAACAATATACAGTTTCACCTTGGTAAGATTTGATCCAGCCTACAAGGAAGATAATTTATGAAACTGAATGCAAAAAATAATGAATAAACTTCCCATAATAAAATATGTTATTAACCACTTACACTTCGAATTTTAAATGACTGTGTACGTATAATTTTTGTTTTATATAATGTTAAAAAAAAAATCGTATAATCTAACCTTTGGGTATGGGATGGCCACAGTTTGGGGATATTGCTCAGATCCGTACCAAGAAAACTCAATTTTTTGAACTTCTGTATCATTAAACTGTGCATAAGCCAAGAATTTTCCCGTTGAGGACCACCATATTGCCCCGTTTGAAGCAAAGACCTCCTCTGAAAATCAAAAGAAAATAGATTTTTTTCACAGCAATTCACAAGAAAAGAAAAACAAAATGCAGGGTTAATTAATTTTTTTTTTAATTAAAATTCACAGTCTGATTAGACTTGATTATACCTTCTCCAAAGGATGACATAAGAAATTGTAAAAATTATCCTGTAGAAAAATCTTATCTAGACCGTGTTCTAGGGCTGCTCGATTATAGCAAAAATGATAATCATGATTATTCTGACTGAAATTTATATCTCGATTTTAACAAGATTTCGATTCTGCCTGAGTCCCAAAGAACTACAAATCAAAACATCAGCAGCCAAACTGGAGATCATCCTGAAAAAATTTGCACTAAAATGTACTTTGAATATATACATGAGCTCATGAATAAGACCAGGGATGAATCTCACTAGGCCTGAAACTGGTGGTGGAACGCAGGCAGAATGAAGAATAGTTCATTCTATAACTGTAGGTTAAGGAGAAGATATGCTTCCGCTAAGACGGTGAGACCCAGTTATTTGCATTAAGCTGTTCCTGGAGCTTCATCCTGTGAGCTTGATAAGGCGCAGGTTCAACTTCCATGATGAGCAAGCATGAAGTGACAATAGAGAGAAAAACACTCCCTTAAGGGAAGAAATCTCTGGCAAATCTCAACATGGCAGTCTTCTGCCAAGATTGACAGGGTAAGTTTCTTGAATGCAGTATGAGTCCGGAGGAAACCCCTGAATAAGTACAGCAGCATAGGGAAGACAGAGGGAGTTTGTCGAAGATGAGGGAAAAGGGGATGGAAGGTTGAATCAGGGTCATCTGATAACTGTGCAAACGACTGGTTGGGAAGCAGGATGAGTTGTGGATTTATAAGTCTTTAAAGCTGAACTCTGAATGTTGATTGCACTTTAAGGAGGTGCTTTCCAATGTCACTGGCTTGAAGACGGATGAGCCTCTAATCGAATGTGGATAGGTGATTCAATTTTTTCTGTTGAACTTTTGGCTATGCTTCATTTGAATATGATACACGTAGCAGCCTGTTGATCCAGAAGTTGACTTCTCTGAAGGAGGCTGTGATGCTGAACTGAATGTAGCCAGTTAAGGAGTTCTATATTCATAAAACGTCATCTTGAACTCTGTATCATTTCCTCTCTGCAACACTACATGATGTCATCCAACAGCTGCGCTTACGACTCATGGCATTAACCAGCTGAATTGGCAGCGCAATGCGGTGCTTTCCACTGTTGCTTCAGATTTTTTGTGTTGACACAGTTGACCATGACTTATTTAAGACAAAGTAAACAGAACACTTCCTCAGAGATTGCCAGATCATTTGACTTAAAATCAAAGATGCAATATGCACCCACAGCAAAGAGCCTCTAGAGCCATCTGACCAACATGTAAACAGTTTGGAGGAGAGTGCCGCTGCTATTGCTGCTACTGGTACAAGAGCAGCTTGGTCACGTTGTTTTTTACATCTTTGTCCGACAATCAGAGTTTAACTTACAGATAGTAATATTGAATAAAAAAAACATCAATTTGATTTTAACAAGTCTAAAGCAGAGAACTGCAATGTGAGGGCTGCTCGATATGCAACAGAAAACAGCAGAGTGAACTGTATGGAAACAAAATGATCAATCATTTCATTGTTTTGATAGTTTAAAATCCATATTGTAATCAACATTAAAATTAGTGTTGCACCGATACCGGTATCGGTCTGGGGCGTGGTCCTGCTCTAGCATTTTGGTGTTGGTTTGTGCGGGTACCTAGAGCTCGAGTACCGTTTTGCTTTTTTATTTTTCTTTTTTTACCCGTTCCAGGTAGGCAATAAAAAGTTCTACTGGATTCATTTTGTATTAGTCTTTTTCCTGCTTCACAAAGGTAGGCAGCAGCTTGACAAAGCCATGATTATTTTACATCCAAGTAGTATACAGTTCTTCATATATACACACACACATCAATTTCAAACAGATTGTATCGGTATTAGTCAATACTGCACAGCCAGGTATCTGCATCAGGGCCAAAGAATGGCATCGGTGCAACACTAATTAAAATACGATTAATAGTCCAGCCCTGACATGGTCCTGAATACCATAAATTTTTACAACTTTTATACAACCCCATCGCTCTCTTAAAACAACAGTATGTAACTTTTAGCCATTAGGGTTGGTAGACTGGTAACTTAGAGGTTTAGCATCAGTGAAAACAACTGCCAACACTGCATTGCACTTAAATTAGCCTCCCTAATTGGTATTAGCCTCCCTCCATTGGTAAACTGAACCAGGACCTTAGGTATGGCGGCACCGTCGAGACATTCCATTTCTGATCTATTAAGAGAGGCTGCCAACAGATTGGATGAGTTAGAATCCAAGCATGCGCACTCCTGCTCAGTAACCGTTTCCGGTCTGTTACGGACCAAGTGGAAATAGAGCAAGTAAAAATACACAAAGTAGAAATATACAAAGTGGAAAAAGAGAAGGAAATAAAAGGGCAGGCGTAAATCCTTTGGGTAAAAAAAAACAAACAGAAAAGTCAGAGGTAGAAATAAATAATTGTTTCAGAAATAGAAGGTTAAAATAAAGTAGAAAGAAATATTTATGGTGGTGTAAAAACATGCTTTAAAAATGTTGTGGTGTAAATCATTATGAGACAAAAATAAAAACATATTTTAAAAATGTTGGTGTGAATGAATTTGAAAAATTCAAAAAAGGTTTGAGTGGAAATACGGAACAAAAAACCCCACTTGCAATAAATACACAAAGACAAAATAAAGACTTCAACAAAAATGTATAACAGAAAAGAAGTGGGTTAAAAATAAGTCAGCATCGAAACGAAGAAGAAAAGTAAAAATAAAAGTGAAAGTTAAAATATACATTTTTTGATGAATAGTTGGTCAATTGTTGAAGGAATATTCTGTTTTTATTGTTTTGTCACATTTAATGGCACACAAATTTATATCATTAGCTACTTTTCCAAACAATTTTATATTATTGAGTCCTTCATTTATTTCCGTACATAGGCTATTTTTAATTATGGAGGGTCGGTCCTCCATAGAAAGTGCTAAAATACAAAAAGGAGCAAAAGCAATTATTGGTTGTAGTCAAAAGTTTAGCTTCTTCTGTCCTTATCTTTTTAAATCTTATCTTTTTAATTAATTATTTTTTTTATTTTTTTTTAACCACTGTAGCTCCGCACAAGAATGTCAATGTGTCTGAAATGTGATCTGTCACTTGGCTAATAATAATCTTGAATCTACTTGAGAAAATATTTACATATGTGCTAAAACAAAAAAAAACTTGTAGTCTTTAAAGATGTTTTTATTTATCTTGCAATTATGTTACCACATTTTTGTCTTGACTAATTTCTTGGTTACATCTTTTTTTTAGCAAAAAAAAAATTGCGGTGATATTCAACTGATAATGACTGATTCATGAGAGAGAACATGTTTATTTACCTTTTACCTACTACGTAGTCAGTAGAAGCTAATATAGCAGTATTCAAAGCTCATAACTTGACCAAACAATTGGTTATTAAAGATAATACATTTATTTTTGTATAAATTAGCTAAGATTGTCACTATGTCCTGATTTTAACTTACAAGACATAATCTAGAAGAAAAAAAATCCAGCTCTCCTTCCAGTGGTCTTACTGCTTTTAGCAGAAATA